CTTCATTTTTCACCGCTCCCATGCTATCTTCGTCAGTTTCGGTAGATTTTAGTTTCTATTCTACAGTGATAGATGTTAGCTCTCGGAAAAGTGTTCCAAATACTTGACAACAGACACGCATGTGAAAGTCTTTCGCGCAACAAAATAAAGAGCAGGTATAGCATCCACCTAATGATTTGCCATTGTCCTTTGACAATATTCATGCATTCTTTTAAGTTATTATCTTAATGTTTTTGTACACGCTTTAAGTGGATGTTTTAAAGTTTTCTTTTTAGAATATAAGTTTGTGGTCATGTTATGATAGGATCCAATTGTCGGCAGGTCAATAAAACTTGTTTTACACAAACTAATGGAATGATGCATTTTAAAGACAAGACGGTAATAGTCTTTAACATATATTAAAAGATATTCTTGTAGCAAATTAATTATATTATCAGAAGCCTACACTTTACCTTTGCCTACCTATACAATTATTGTTAAGATTCGTGTTATTCTAAACCAATTCCGTAATAAACTAGATACTCGAGTTGTTCTGATAAGAACTAATATTAGGCTTTACGGGAACTCGGAAAACATCTTCAACGTGTATTTGTACGGGTAAAACTGACCCAAAAATTAGAAATGAATGAACATTTGGCATATCTTTAATACTACACGTTAGTTTAATGATCAAATGTTCATATTTAATTCTTCGTTAGTGCATTAATGTGGCTGTAGTCTCTCCGAATTCCACAGCTTGCCTTAAAGTCAAAGACGCGCAGATTGTGATCGGTGGCCACGAACATATATTGTCTATCACAGGCGAGGCTGTACACAGGCGACAAGCTGTTATGTTGCCGCGTCCTTCCGGGAAAGTATAATTGTACGTATTTCTTCATTCTTATGTCGTAAAGGTTGACCCGTGCATGCCTGTTGGTGCCGACCAGCACTGCATGCAGACCATCGTACTCCAAGGAGTAAAAGGATGAGTCGAACGGATCCTCCCAAATAGCTACATCACGATCTATGCGTCGGTCAAACATCCGAAACGTCGTGTCGAAGTTGGCCGTAAAAATTACCTGGTCATCTTTCATTTTCAGGTCGTAAATGGACCTCGTGTTGGAACTGAAAACCAATTCCTCGCCACTGTTGAAGAAGAAATTATTTCAGATTGTTAATAACAAATATTATTTCTGCTTTTTCTGGCTTAGTAAAATATTCTAAATGGGATACATTAAATGTTCAAACGTTAGCAAAAGCATTCGTGAATATACAAAAATATATGGAAAAACCAATGGGTGGCATGCTGTATATTTGCTTTGCGCATCAAGGGTTTACCTTTCGATGTGGACTGCCCTCAAAGCCCGGCGACCGTCGTCAGTGTAGAGTCCTCCGTATAGCCACTGACCATCCGAACTCAGTTCTAGAGACCTAAAGGCGTGCGGCAGATTCATCACCTGATCAAAATGAGTCATTCCAAATTCCTGCGCACGCTGCCACAGTCTGCAGCCGTGATCTGTGCTGGTTGCGTACAGATCCTTGACAAAGTCTACGCAGTACAAGTACTCGTTGGCCGGATGCATCCTCTGCTCCGTCATCATACAGCTATCAGTATCGTAGTGGAAGCACGATCCGCAAACCCGTCCCGCAAATATGGTTTCATTCTTCTTGACGAAATCAGAGATGTCGGTCTGTGTGGAGGTAGAGATCTCCTCGTCAAAACGACGATGCAGTGCATCACAGCTGGACCGTCGGTATTTGCGCAGATAGCCGGCATGGGTAATGTACAGGAAGTCGGCCTCCAGGCACAGTTTGGTGGGGAACATCTGGACATGGTGGAAGTAGGGTCGTTCAAAATAGGTGCCACTAACCCAGTTCCTCGACACCTCGATGCGTTCATAGTTTTTCAGGCGTGTTCGGTTTCTAGAAGATTGTCAACGGAGTAGATTATCTTGTGTTTATAATCCGAATCTCATTCGCCAACCTCTTCCCAATCCTTGGATTATTTCGGTGGCCACAAAGCAACAAATCGTAGGCAAGTGGATGGAAGTAGTGGGCGTCAATAATATCCTCCAGAGCCGGGTCCGCCCTGCACAGGCACAGTAGATCCCCCTCCGAGCAGTAATCAAATATGCAGAGCAGGCAGTCGATGGTCAGGTCCTTCAAACTCATGCGGGATCCACCCATCATATAATTCGCCACTAGTTCATAAATTTAGCTCACATCCCGTCGATTTCAAAACACAACTCGATAGTTGTATATCGATTAAGCCACTTTTAGCGGTACCTTTGCAACACTACGAAATTTACGTTAAGTTTAACAGCAGTTAATAAGAAAATTCAAATGTTTATTTCACATACCAATTATATGTTCTCTCATAGTGTATATATAATCATGGCCAATTTGATTATGCCAAACTATCATTATTTTTAGTCATATATTTGGATATAGAAACTTCTGTAGCTAATAAACAGTGCACAATGTACACTTATGTGTCATTGCTCAAAATATGACTAACTTGACCTGAAACTGTGAATTTTAAAGAACATCGCAGTGCTCGTTAATTTCATCAACATTCGAAAACATTATTTACCATAGAAAAAGCTACTATTTATCGTGTATCTTTTTTAAAACACTTTCCACTTCGGTGGAATTCGGTAATTATTTATACTACATTTATACTACAATTGAACTACAGGAAGTTAGTATTTACATATACAGAGTTCTTACGTAAATTTTTTGTTTATTGCAAGTTAAAAATTACCACCCCTCTTAGCACCCATATATCTTTTAAAATATACTATCTAAGCTTTGCCTTTTTATTGGTTAACTATGTATATCTGAGTGTCAAGGCAATACAAGAAAATAAAATTCATGGAAAATGGTTAACGAATTTATACATTTTACTAGTGTTGAAGGGAAAGCATCAAGGCTAGACTTCGGGGAACCATTGTGATAAATGACTACTGGGGTCAAGAGTTTTTATCATTCGATAACATAAGTAAGTTTGATTTTAGAAAGATTCCCCACGATTAACGTAAGCCGACTGAAATGCCAAACACGAAATAGACAGGAACTGCACATTTTGGGGACAAAAGTCTGAAGTGTACAGTTTTACGCACATAAATATGCGGCGTGCGTACGAGCACGTACTCATACAATTGCAGCAATCTAAAGCTATTTAGAACACTGTTTCCGCAATTAGGCATTTTTGCGCTAAATACCTTAACTGAGCATTTGATTGACTTGAAATAGCGCACACACTGTTTGATCTGCCTAGAAAGTATCTCCTATCTGGCTCGGCATTTATTTGCGGCTTTTCAGATACTACAAATTGGTGCATAACGTTTTATGACTTCTGCAGTGCTTCAGGAAGAACCCCATGGAATGATTGTTAAGGCCAGTTAATTCGCTATATCCGTTGGGTACTGAAATAGGAAAACAAAAGATTATCTTACAATGACAGACAGTCAGCTGTGTGCAGTACCAAATAAAGAAGTTTACGGAAAATCTTGAGAATAGTGCCATGGTCATAACAAAGAAACAAGTAACGACAATTTTTGGGCCAGGGAAAGTAGCGTAGCTGTCACTGTTCAGGTCTACTTTATGGTTATCAAGCACTTAAGGTTTTAGAACCTTAAAAGTGAATTTGTAACAGGGCTAGGCACTTATCTAGTACACCTTTGTACTTTCCATTTAACATACATTTTCGGTAGTGTGACCCCTATTTAAGAATCGGGACTTTTAAGTTGGTAAGGAATGCGAAAAGTTCTGGATCGTTCGTTCCGTTCTATAAGACCCCTTTTAAATCTTATCAAACTGCACACACAATGGGCTTCACTCATTCAAGATCTCAAGGCTTTGAGTACCCACCTTAAAATGAATTCGTAGAATATTATGTATGTAAGACAAATTCAGAATCCATAGTGTAAATGCAATCATAAGACTGCATATTGCATAGCTTAAGATTTTAGGTCATAATTTATCACAGATAATAAATAATATTTGTACAGCAAATTAGAAAAATAACAATGTAATATGCTACAAAAACATCAGATTGGATATCATTTCGGTATAGTTATGTACTTATTTTCCGGTGGGTATTTTGCAGTCGGTTCTATACCGGTCGAGCGAGTGTAGTATAAGTTCATGCGTGGCACTGAGCTCCAAAAATTGATAAACGCAATCTGTAGGTGACGTAGTCGTCAGCAGTTTTCGCTTTTTGCGCAGTTCTCGTTCACTCTGGCGTTCTGGCTATTTCATAATCTGAACAAAGTGCTCGACCACAGGTAAAAATGCTCGAGCACGGCGCACACAGACCCAAAATTCGGCGGGTTTTCTTATAGGAGCTATACATGCGATGTGCCCGGCACGTCGGCACATCAAGTGACAGTCGTGGGACATCCGTATTCGCAGCTTTTCACAATATTAGTTTATTGTTATTGTGGAGCAAAGTCACACATATTTCCGTAGCCAAAGTCACGTTCGCCCACCTGATAACTTTCAGTCACTTGGTTGCATTATCAACTACTACTCTGAATCTACTCGGCAACGAGGAATCCCACTGACGACTCTAAATAATATGCTGATTCTCTACTCTCGAGAGAATTCTCGATTATTTGTCATATTAAAAAGGAGTGAACTAGTTTATCTCCTTTATGAATAAAGTTTATCTCCTTCATGAATAAAGTAGATTAGGCCTGAAGAACAAAATAGAATGGACAGTTTGTGTTGATATTTACGGAAAGAGATTTAGCTGATCTTAATCAAATGTTGAATGTCATACTAGTAAACAATATGACGCATCCAGAACCATAGCATCTTGTTTTCCCCTGACTCATTGTTTTCTTCTTTTGTAGCTTTCCGCTTCTGGTGAGTATATATGAAGCACATCAATATTAATGTTTAGCTAATAATCTAGTTGACTGCTTATACATTAATCCATATTTACAATCACAAAATTCTAGTATCAATTAATTTGCAGCGTTTTTTTCCCATAGCCTTATCAAAACAAATTGGAATTATTCTTGGTGAGATCAAATTTCAATGTATTATGTTTTTTTTTCGCAATTTTCACTTACAAGATTTTAATAGTAGACAAAGCGTAATACAGAAGTATTAAATAATAAATAACAATTGCATATGTTGCATTTTTTAACATGGAAACTAATGTGTGTTTTAAAGCCCAAAAACGAATCAGGGCGACTGTCCTTTGATAAGATCAACAGTTTGCAAAAAAATTAAAAGGTATTGTACATAGATAGGTTTTAGGAAGAATCGGTTGCAGAGAGGATGCTGCGGAGCGGCGTGATTCTTGAACGAATCGGGGCCGCAGCGCGATTGGAAGGCAGTGAGTTCTTGTGTGTCTAAGAGTGTCTAAGCGAGGCTTTAAGTCTTTTTTGGCAGTACCACCTGCAGGAAGACGACGTGGAACGCAGTCAGAGTCGGCGCATCAAGGAGGGCCAGGATGACCACAGTGTCATATCGTACGATATGTACAGTCCCGGCGGTTAAGAAGCCGGCATTCAGCCGGATGCAGCCAAGCGTGTCCCAGAATGCAACCCGTGGGCGACTCCACGAGCTCCAATCAGCCCATGTCCACATCCGTATCGGGTTCGGGGTCCGTGGACAGTCCATTGGCATTCTGAGCCATTTGGAGCGTGGAGCGAGTGTAGTCCAGAGGCTCCACGCCAATGTCCTCGTACTCGTGCTTGTCACCCAAGGAACAGAGTCCTTCTTCGTCCTCATCCATCGCATCGGTGGCAGTGCCTCCGTTCTCCTCCTCCGCATCGCTCCAGTCCTCGGCCACCTCCACGTTGACAGGCAGGTACATGTGGAAGGGGCGCTGCTGTCGCAGCCACGGTGTCAGGAATATGTGGCTGGCGGTCATGCGTTCCGTGAAATTCTTCCGCAGCAACGAAAGCAACAGCCATCGCACCGATTTGGACAGCGTCATGGGTAGTTCGACATTCCCGTGTCGGATGACAGTAATGAGGCTGCAGTTGGCCTTCTCGTAGAACGGATACTGACCCACCAACATGGTGTACAGGATCACGCCCAGCGACCACATGTCCGCCGGTTTGCCCTTGTACGTTGGCTGTGGGCACAGTAGTTCCGGAGCGGTGTACAGTGGGCAACCGATTTTGTCGCTCAGAGTATCGTCCTCGCCGTCGAGGATCATTGAGCCTTCCAGTGATTCATACTGCAGTTTGGTTCTGTAATTAGCAAAGGACGAGCTCAAATAAGTAAATAAAATCAAATCAAATAACGATTTACTAGTATCTATTTCGATGTTGCAGATTTGTGTTGCCAAAAGAAGAGTAGATAAGACACACTTCCCCTTGAGTTGGCACATCCATTATTCTGATCGCAACTGTACCCATAAGTCAGACCCAGCGTCGAGCTCTACATCATGTGCAATCCCTGGGACTTGCATAACCCCCGATTTTGTGGGGCCATTAGCTAGCGCAATATCCAAGAGACTTGAATCGATCGGATACGGAGCTTCAGTTTCAGTTGTAGTTGTTTTTGGCGTTGGCGTATTGACAAGTCAAAAGGCAAATTGGCCGAGAGAGCACATTGTGAGCTGAGTTGGGCACTGAGCGGACTTGGATTGGTGACGAAAGCGCAGCTTGCGACCCCCGACACCCATGAGCGAGTCCCGTCGACTCCGCCTCCGCCCCTGCACTCTACTCCACCCCCTCCATTGGGCCACTCCATTGACATTGGCCCACATTCGAATGCAAAAAGTAAAAAAGTAACGAAAACGCCAGCCAGCACAGCGCATAGAGCCAAAGAGAGTCAGCTGTGTGAGCTGTGTGAGCTGGGTGAGTAGTGAGGTGAGGTGAAGTGACGTATCGCAACTTGTTGCTGCAACGGCGCTTCTGCTGGGACACGAACACCACCACCACATTGGGTATTCCGTCGATAGCGAACTGAGAGGTATACAAACACACGGTCGCCGTGGTCTGGTATCCAAACATCCAAAGAGCCAAACACAAAGCAGGCCAGAAAAACCTCGAGCTGACCCTGAACAAAAACAAGCTTTGAAAACGCGCCTCTCCTCGGCACAAATTACAGAGTACACTGTAAGAAACCAATTGCCTTCAACTTGGTAGCAGCGGCTGGAAAGTACGTAAAGAAGTAGCGCATACAAAAACATATATCCTAGAACTAGGATCTAAATTATATTAATTTTAAGATCAAGGTTATTTTGTGCCCTCGATCGCCTAGTGGCCCCACTCGATACAAATCATTAGCCAAAATATAAACCTATATTTAAGATCAAGGCAAGTTTGAACGGAAATAGGCATACATATAATATGCAACTTTTTAAGATCAAGGTTTTATGTGAACCAATATGAATATTTTTGAGTGCACGGAAAGCAAGTGGAGATGAGATGAGGAGAATAGTTACAGCTGCTGACCTCGATGCGGGATATAGAGAGGCTTTGAAAAGCGTCTTGGAGATCTGTCTCTTTCCGCTTGGCACAAATTAACCCGCGACAGAGGTTAACATAAAATCAGAAACGAAATACGGAAAACCACCGGCGAATAAGTGCTTATACACCTTGGAAGTATTTATGTACAGGCGAGAGCACACAAAATAAAAGTATGAACCAGAGATTTACATGCATAAGCTTACGCATTTGTATATGGGAGGCACTGGCATATAAATGCGTTAAAAATACAGAAGATCAGAGTCAGGGCCATTCACCGCACTGTGACCTTAAAAATTCGGCTCGTTGTCTGGTTGTGCGTGTGTACGCCGCCCCTTTGGATATTCACATGTAGCCATGGATATGGCTACGGATATGGGCACGCCTATATAGTATGTACACCCAGTCAGCACTTATCTATATAGCGATTGGTATTTTTCATATGGAAATGAGCGCTAGTAATCGCATTGAACACTTGTTGTTTATTTCTCGCCAAGGTGAGAGAGGTACATATACTACAGATAGAGATCTATGGGTTTCTTCCTTCCGCCGTTTTGCACTTGGCACAGAACGACGAAATGACGAAAAATCAGCAGATATTGCGCTAATTGTAAAGTCATACGGAATAGAGCATTTATTCACGCCATCCATGCTGATGTCAGTAAAATTTCGACGATAATAAGAACGGGAGACAGCGCGTTTTCGATACAGTTGTGTTTGTTAACATATGCGAAAAAACATTTTGGGTATGGACGGTGAAGGTATGGTCAATATTTCATCATCCACTGTAAGCTCACACTCATGAAATCGACAAATAAAAAGAACGCTGAGATCCCCACCCCAAACCATATTGCAAATGCTATGTTGAACAATTCTTGAAATGTGGCAATTTATAGCTTCCGAAATTTGTAATGAAAAAACGGGTGGGCTAACATTTTGGCCATCACTGTGGCAGATTGGGCCCTTGTGTGTATGTACGTAGATACAATCGGGGTCAGTAACATAAGGCATGTGGCCACCTACTAAGTAGCTATTTAATAATACATGAATCACATTATTATGGTTCGAAAACTAATGCATGTTAGTGTTATATATATTTATAAAACGGTTTGAAGAGCGGTTACAATATCTGTGAAATCATTTATAATATTTTATCATATTCCAATTCCTTTTGAAAAGCTTCAGATAATAGGGATGTATTTTTTATTTTAAAATTAGTACGGAACTACCATTGTACCCTGCGCTGTACATACGAACGCCTTGCGTTCATTCGGTGTGTCAGTATAATTGTTGTTGTTGGCCTATTGGTGATTCGATTGCAACACTTGTTAAATGTTCAATGTTACCCACAACGACGGCGCCAACAACAACAACAGCAGCAACTACAACAACATTGGCCAATAACAAGAGCAACAATTGTGGCACCACCAACACACGACCACAAACAAGATCTCTCGCTCATAACGAGTTTCCATCGAATTGCAAAATAAACCGACTAGCCATATGCAATTGAGTTGGTATAAGGCAGGTACATATACATATGTGGCTTATATTGGTGTATATGGGTTTTTTGAAGGTGTCACCTGGACACGCAACTCACCTGGCCTCGTCGATGAAGTAGAACCGCTTGAGCTTGAGGTCCCTGAGGATAATCCCGTGGCGGTGACACACCTGAACGGTCTGGCAGATCTGGTGGAATATGGCCCTCGCCTCAGTTTCGCACAGTCGCTTCTCGTGGCGGATGTAGGTGTGCAGGTTCTCGTACACCCCGGTCATCCCACCCGTGGAGTCCCTCTCCTGGGGCACGGGCGCAATGAGGATGTAGGTGCGATCCTTGGACAGCGGTATGATATCGTGCACGGGTCGGATTAGTGAATGGCCATAGATGGTGCTTCGGCGCAGCTCCTCGTCGTGTTGCTGCAACTGGAAGTAGGCACGTTGCACCTTATACAGCGGTTCGTTCACAATACGACAGAGAAACTGCTCCCCGGTGAAGACGTCCACGCAGCGCAGATTGGAGGCGGTGAGATCGACCAAGTGGCGATACGAGGCGGGCGTCTTGGCGGCCACGGCGGCCGATATGTGACTAGGCTGGGCGCTGATCAGATAGCGCTGTTGGATGAGCTTGACGGGCTGCTGGTCCGTGGGTTCCGCGGCGATTCCCAGGGCCAGAAGGTCGCAGGCTCCGCCAGGCGTCATCAGCTTCTCCCTGATGGTTTGCAGCATCTTGGCATTGGGGAACTCCTTTTTGGGGGTAAATAATCCCAGTACGGTGTCCTCCTGGCTATTACTCATGCTGCTGCTGCTGCTGCTGCTGCTGCTGTTGCTACTGCTGCTGCTGGATGATGATGATGATGAGGAGGTGGCGACTGCTGGCGAGGCTGGTGACGAATAGTTGACTATTTTGCTGGTGGACGCCGCTGACGACGCCGTTCTGCTGTTTTGGCCGCTACTGTTATCCATGCTTGTGTTTACCACTTAACTTTATCACAGTTCTTGCTCTCGCTGCGTTTTCTTCGTCTTATTCTCTGCTTATGCTTCTTCGTCTTGCTAATTTCGTTACTCCGCTTTAGCTTGGCTGTACTTGGTTGTTAATTGTTTTGACATTTAGCGACGCGCCGTTTAGTCTTCGATTAAATTCGATTTAAACTCTCGTTTAAACTCAGGGCTATTACTACTTTGTTAGTTTGGCCATGTGCAATGCGGGTATTCACTGACGAAATGCGGCGATTTTAAAACAAATCGAACGCTGCTCACTGAACTCGCGAAACGAAACGAACCCGACCGTCTTCTCCGCAGTTTGAATTTCAAATGTGACCATCCACGCGGACGGAAGAAGCACGAAGCGAAGAGAACGGCGAAGTACAACGGCGCTCTCTCGCACCCTCTCGCTCGTGCTCACTGCACCGATCTGTCACTGTCTCGCTCTCACTTGTTGCAGGAGCTTAGGTCGAGAATAAGGTCGGAATGGAGAGAGGAGAGGGAGACCAGAGAGCGTCGTTATTTTTTGAAATCAAAATGGTTGGGGGAGAGAGAGAGAGCGAGAGCATCGTTATTTTTGAAAAAATTGCGCTGAACTCTAAAATTCCGATTCCAACTGAATTCGAAATACGTAGCTGTATAAACACTATCCCCACAGCAACCCTTACAGTTTTCTTTTACGATATTACGTTATAATCTGCGCTCTAATAAAACAAGGCGATAAGTTAATTAGATGGCGGTTAGTAATTTTATTATTTCCATAATTTTAAGATTAAATCAATGGAAGTACAGTCAACTTGAATTTCGATTTCGGTTATCGAGAGCAGAATCACCCGTATAACAATCGCTCTAACTCGAAAATAAACATATTTTGTGGCTTCTAGGTTTGGATACTTGAGGTTTTTTCCCACTCTCTGATAAAGTATTTTTTTCAAGTTAAGTTGAAATTCTTTTAATTTCGACAGTTGTGAAAGATTATTGAATTCAAGAATTTTAAAAATTTTTCGTTGGCGATTGGTGATTTTCTGTGGGGATGGTACGTTTTAAGATAAGTTTTTAGGTAGATACTTTACAAACATACAGATCTGTAGTCCTCCAGTACATGATCTCAGTAATAATTTTTAGATTATTTTCTAGTATATCCTAAAATCTAAGCAACTTTTCAAAGCAGTCTGCACTCTTTTTTGGATCCAAATCGATCATTGAATTTCTTCCTGTGCGCGATCATTACTCATTTGTGTGTGTATGTGCATTTGCCTTGCTGTTTACCTCGCGGTGCAGACGATTTCATGATTTTTGCAGCTGCCCCGAAACGAGGATCACTGGGCTACGCAGGAATTACGACAGCAACAGAAGGCAGTGATCAGAGATCCTCAAGGAGCAGGTAAGAACCACCGAGCGGCATTATGTCGCAGGTAGATTCCTTCCTACATACACACAATGTCAGCTGCACTATTCCACCCCTAAGCAATATATGGCAGATATAGTGCATCGGTGCAGGGCTGTACATGCGATGCAGTTGCAGATGCAGCTGGCGCAAGGTGATTTCCAACTGAAGACATCCGTCTGAGGATACACAGACGCACAGCCGCGGTCACGACAATAGTAACTATCGAAATTAAATCTCTAGTTATAAAAAGGCTTTCATTTTACAATTCTTAGGACGTAAATATTGACCAGAACATTTTACTTTCAAAAACGGCTTATAGGTTTGCATACAATTGTAAAGAAAATATGATTCCTACAATTTTGATTATTTTCATTCTGGGCATTACATTTTGAATACTAATATTCTTACCGCAACTGTGCATGCAACCTTGTATTTTGGGCATTGCTTTTATCAATGCGTTTTTCACAGATCTCTTCGATTGAATTCCTTATATTGTAACGCTCTTTTTGAAACGCAACGTCCGTCTCAATTTCTTCTTCTTCCGACGAAGTAGCCGATAAATACGAATGCGAAAATCGCGAACAGAACAAACAACACCAACCAAGCGCTATCTCACTCTCTCGTCGCCCCGACCCTTTCCTCAAATTTTGCATCTGTTTCTCGAAAAGAAGATTTAAACGAGAATTATACTGGTACCGTGACACCAATCCAACCAAAAAGGGGTGAAATTATAGGGGTGGCAACATCAAATTGAAATTGAAAAATATATTATTGGCATACGGCATACTTATTTCCAAGCAATTATTGTTTCGCTGTGGTCACTGCACTCACTAATACGATTCAATTTTGATATGAAAAGTACATTTACATATATACGGGAAATATATTCTTTAAATAATCACGTACATACATCGTGAACACAAATAATCTTTGTTCCAGTAAATCACTTCTACAGTTTCATCATGGTTCGCAATGTTGATTAACTTTGTATTGCAGTTCGCAGTAGGGAAATTGCACATATTTCATAGAAACTTGAAATTACGCCCACAAAAACTTCTACGGACTTCTCATCGTGTATATATAAAATTACTTACTGGGTATTTCTCTGCCTATAATAAGGTGATAAACTATTGTTATTATAACAACTTTTTTATCATAACACTTCAGAATAAGAAACTATATGAAGATTTAACAATTTCGAATTTCTAAATGAAAAGATATACTCAACAAACTTAACCCACCAATTATAAGCTATTTTACTCCAAATTGTTTGTCATACCATGCTACGTATGTACATATATGGACTTTTGTTAGTAAACAAAATTATAATCTTGTGAAATAATTCCACCTGCAATCCCTTCCTTCGAACCACAGTGCGCCAAGCCACACCAAGAATACGTTACTTTTTAAATTGAAATTCGAACATTCGGATCAAGCCCACTACGTTGATATATCTCAGGAAAGCGGTTACTTTTTTCAAGACTCGCGGATTGTTCTGCGCTAAAACTTCGCGTGCGTTTTGTGCGAATGAGCGAGCTACTTTGTTGTTGCCAAGCTGGCACGAAATCCAGATTTCTCTTCCAAGCGAAAAAAAACAACTCAGTGCGTCATCGGCTGCGTCATCAATTCGGGATGACGACGCCTGGCCATTCCGCTTCGCAATTCCCCTTCCTGATTCCGATTCTCCAGTCGGAGCCCCGTATCGACATTCCCCAAAACAGCCACACAATCTTTTATATGTACATACTCGTGCATACACAAATATCTCGATTCGCCAGCGGGCGGGAGCTTTAGTTTGTGCATATACCCTGACTTTGGAGTTTCAGATTCGCACGAAATGCGGAAGGTGAAGTTCTCGAAGCGAGTGAGTGAGTGAGTGGATCGGTTTGGATGGGATGGGAAATGCATGATGCATGGCCGTGATGTGGCTTTTATAAAAAAGTAGATTCAGTTGTGGCACGTGGTCTGCCGATTGCACTTGCAGTGGAACTCTGTTGAATGTTAATGGCATTCGCTCTTTTCAAACCCATAAATATGAAAGTAAATTGAATTCCGTCGAGGTTTCAGGTCAGGGTTTGCAGTGCGCTTCAAGAACATTTCAATAAGCAGGGAAATAATTTTAAATGTACATAGATATAGCATACCGATATTGTACCAACATAAGCATTTAAGTAATATTCGTCTATCTGCAAACTACAAGTCTGTAAAAGCAATTTCTCGAGCTGTGAATCGAATCTGGCATCGCAGAAGATACACTCTCACTCTTTCGAGCGTGCAGTATCTGAATGTGGTTATGGGTATGAAACACAACAGGTTGTCGGCGGTGTTTGGAGAAAGTGCTTATTGCCAACAATACTATCAGGTGCAATGACCACATATACCTAGGCGGTGGATGGTTTGAAAAAGCGTATAAATTGTCATGGAAACGCGACGCTCGATGGTCGGCACAACATGCCAGGGAAGTTGATCTGATTAAAAGCCATAATCAGCCAAGGGAGTTTTCCGACGAATAGATTTGCCATGTAACTACCAAGAAATACCTAAAGCTTGTCCAACATTAGACAAGCGCATACCGTTAATAGAAACTTGTATAACTTTCTTTTCATACAAAGAGAAACATGACAATGTAATGGGCAAGGCCGTTGAACTCTAACTGTGATATGTCTTTGGAGCTTAGATAGGGAGATACATAACTTAATTATCTCTTTAATATAATTGAAATAAACTTCTTGAACTTAGATAAATAATATTTTATATCGTAAATATCTATATATCTTTACTTCTTGAACTGCCCAAACATAATTGGTTACATAGATTTCAATACTTCTCACAGAAGGAATGGAGTACTCAATCTTTCAGATACATCTACCGCTTCCCTCGTTCTTTCGGCTTGAAGGCCGCAAACAAGGGTTCAAGTACAGCAAACACTTTCTCGGTCACACGTATCTGTGCTCTGCGTAGGTGGTGAAAATTGCTGCCCTTTTTCCCAGTCCCAATTCTTCACAGATGCATTTCCCAGATGCCAGCACGCTGAGGATTATCCATTGTCCGTAATGTTTGTATGGAAAGGATACCCGGTGGAAATGCTATTGATGTTCTCTGGCACACATGCTTGGAAATATTATTACTAGTCACGGCGTGGGAACCTAGGCAAAAATGTGCCAAGATCCATGTAGAATATTGCCATTTCTGGACATATAGGTGGGTAACTTGCGACACATTTATAATACGGGTAGCACCGGCATTTCGTGGTCACCCTGATTTTCAAGTCCCAGATACATTCAGAAAAAAATTAGATTGTCAGGGAAATCAGTTTTTCAAGAAAAAGTTAGCCCTTTATCCCATCTCGGACACAAATGACTGTGAGGTACAGTGAGCTACTGCTGAGGACCATTAACCCTGTCAACCCCTAAAATGACAATTGTTTGAGCTATCAAAAGGATATTTTTCAATAAAATATTATCCAAAATAGTTTCCCCTTTCTTTAGAGATGGATTGTTATGCATATGTGCTTTTCCAGGCCTTACAGGAACGCATTTCTAAAGGGGTACACCAATTTCACAGTTTTCCACACAAAAGCGATGCCGACCCACATTTATGAATGGAAAGTATCCTTAATCTTATCATCATGGGGTGGGTTGCGCTTCGACCGAAATTTTGTCAAGTTTCCTCATTTTTTACGATAGATTCAAACGAACTTTGCCCTTTTTCTTCAATTTTGTAATTGCGCCGTTTATTTGCCCATTGTATTTTCTCGCGACCCTGTTTCACTTGGCAACATCACAATTCTTTGTTCCTTTGTGACACCAAACTAGCTGGAAAACCTCTTTTTTATACTGTCATCATTGTTACACTTTTCTTGGTAAATAAAAACTTGAAAAATTCGGGAAAATACTTATATGCGTAATAAACGTTACCACCGTTCAAACAATCAAAATCTGATAAGATTTGTTTATATATTTAATATTAGGTGCTGCAC